TAAACAGAAGAATACCTTTTGCTGTCTATAAATGTGGTAAAAAAGCCAGTATTTGAGCTGATTTCATGTTGAAGCTGTACTGAATAATCATCGAGCTGGACTGGTGAGGAAGGCGAGACTATTTTCGATGCAAAATCGTCTTAAAATGATAACTAGCAAGCTTGAAACTTCACAAATGCAAAATCCTAGTTCAATTCTTCAATGAGAAAGCTTTTGGTATTTCTTGTTGATAGTTTTTGAGTACTTTTTTCTCTGTTATCGGCGAAGTACCCGCCATTTTGGATTCTTGAGAAAATTTTCAGTTCGAGAGAGACTGCAAACTAATAGATATGATAGATATGGCTTCCTGTGGTTCGAGAGAGACTGGAAACTTCGACGCGACAGATTGCGAAGGTAAAACTATAGCTGGCTAGCACAGCTAGCCCGCTAATAATATGGAAGGTATGCCATTGATGTTATATTAACTTAATTATTTATTAATAGAAAATTGCGGGATCGGGATTGCGACCTTAAAACTGACGGGATTGCGGGATTGAAAACAAAAATTAGCGGGATTGCGGGATTGAAAACCCCAAGTGATACCATGATAATAGTAATTATAGATACTAGTGATAAGCTTTTTAAAGTTATTAATTATAAGTAGAAGAAAAGAAATCAATAAAAAAGGAGGTTGCTACCGAGTTGTTTTGCGCTCTAGGATGTAGGTATTCTTCGATTTTAGGAATCGTAAAAGGCACTCTAAGGGGGTCATTTTATTGTATTTGTGGTAGAATATATTGTCTTTAGTGTCATTCTTATACTCTAGGTTTCTTAATAGTCGTAAAAAATATGTATAAATCAAATCTTGATTCATGGTAATGAAGATAGGGGTATGTAACAGCCGCTTCACGCAGAAACCAGATAAAATTGAAAATTATTGGCAAAACTCAAAAATTACAATCTTTTCACATTTTGTATATCGATAAGATATAATTAGATAATAATCGCTGTGTAATTGGTTTTTAAAAATATTTTTTTAAAAAACAATGTCACATACTTGTCCATACTGGGCCTTTGGGTGATAAATGCTAAAATAGCACTAAAAATAGCCAAAGTTTATACCGAGCTCATGTACAATATATAATAGCTATCTTCAAAACTAAAATTGTAGCTTTCTAAGTACCTCTGTCCTATTTATTTCGTTGATTTTCAGACCATTTACGTGTAATTGAAAAGAAAATTTTCTGGACCTCGACGTGTTTAATATGTGTATATGCAAATTAATCCTTTATAAAACGAAGTTTTTTTAAACATGCAAGTAATTTTTTAAAATAAAATTTGGCGAGAAGAAAATGAGCTTCGCAATCTTCGAGTTAAAAATTGTTCTCGATGAAATACCCTTTACAATCGTGACCTAAAAATCACGTGATTTCTCGGAACAACAGACAAAACCGCTGCCATATTTTTATGTAAGACTTGACCTGCCTCGTGTGAAACATCTTACTCATATTTACAATTTAGTCCAACATTTTCTAATGAGTCTTGATGGTTGTTTCAAACGTTTATTATTAGACGTATAGATTGTCAATGTGCTTTTGATTATTATTTACACTCTTTTGACGTCTTCAAATCTATTTCTGCCATGTCAAATGCGTTGTGTCACGCCATCGTTCAAACGTAATAATCACGATCTAAAATCACGAGGTTTCTTGGAACAACAGACACAAAAAGGTTGCCACATCTTTGTAATAAGTCGATCTCTAGCTGTAGACACCTAAAAATGTATTTGGAACTCTATTATCGTTCAGTGGCTCATTATATTGCAATGCTCCTGTTTGTAGCTGTTGGATACTTAACTTTCATGAATGCACTTTTGGATTTCAACACATCTACACCTGGAATTGTGCGTCATACTACACCATGCCAGAATAGATGTGATGTTATTCTACCAAATTCATCCGTGAACGAGTTTAACTCTTTCTCGTTAGACAACTCACAAGCCTTGTTTGTGCATTTTCACGGAAATAGTTTATCGAGGCTTCAGAAACCAAAAGAAACAGAGATCTTGGATCCAGTGAATCTTGTGTGGGTCGAAAACACCGCAGCTCCATTCCTTTCGCTAGATTTGGGTTTCAATGTTTATTCATTGACGACTTTATGGCGTAAAGTGCGCAATATGTCAGTAATGGTAGAATTTGGTTCGCAAAAATGCTTGGAGAACATAACTTACAGTTGCGTTACAGCGAGTTTGGCCACAGCATTCTTAACTAATGTCAGTCAACAAAGAGGTGCATTGTGTTATGTCGTCAATTTCAATTCCTCGGTGAAATATAAATGTTGCCAAAAAAACTTTCACACGCAGAAAATTGACTGTGACATTCCCCCTTCTATTAATTCAGAGATGTCAGGAGTTTTTGTTACAATAATAATTGTGGCAACAATTTTTTTTGGTTGTTTTCCCGCTGTTTCAGTTCGATTTCCTGATAAAGATGACACTTCTCAAACAATGAGCGCCAACGTACAAGTTCGCAATCCATTTTATCGTATGGCGAACTTTGCTGTCCAGAAGCTACGTCATTATTCAAATAAACATTACTCTGCAAAT